TTTGTTTGTTTAGATTAGTTATGTGTGTTAGCGTTTAGTTAATAAAACTTTTGTGCACAAATTACATGAGTTTCTGATCCTGCTTGTGAATAATGTACCTTTACGATTTTGATCCTTGCTACATTCTCTAATCTAATGCACTATTAGGCTACTGTAAAAAGGTTGTTTTCTGTGGCCACGAAAATAACCTTTCTTAGAGTTGATATGAAATTACACTAAATGTTAGATGGACGAACAGATTAGTTGATGGCAATTTAATTCTGCTACAGTTACTATTGGCAGCTCATATAAATAATTGTAATTAATCATAATTAATTGTAATTATTTATATACATTTTCCTTTTGAGCTAATTTGCTACACTGATAAAACATGACATCTAAAATCAGTTTTAAAACGTGTGCCATTGAGAGATTAATTGTAGGGAGTTTTGACATGGTGATCATATGAAAACTGACAGATCCAATTCTGAAGCAAATGGAGGCAGTGAAACAATAGGAAAGAACTGGCTGCTGTCACTAAGATACCATACTTTCTTACTCAGACAGGCTGTGCTTGGATTCAATAAGATTAGCGAAATAGCATCAGACTATGGCCCTTAAATTGTTTAGGGTGCATCGTACGCTCAGGGGTCAATGTGATTGACACTTTTCACAGTCATATGAGAAAACTGACATTTAATGAGGCATTGAAATTGATTGAGCTATACAGCACCTTTACAGCATTCTACAAAGCTAAAACAGTTCAATCTCATAAAACTTGTTCATATGATATTAAAATGATGCTATAAAAATTGGCGTGACTCCTCCGTATTTAGGTCTTTGATGCATCTTGAGCATTAAGAGTGTTCTTGGCTTCTCCTTCTGTGTGCCTCAGTGAGCATGCCTATCTTGGAGACAAAACTTGGTCAATCAGTCTGCTCCAGTGCACAGACTCAACTCTCCAACAGAATATGACTGCTTTGTTTGTTGCAGGCGTTTACAGATATATTCATAAACATATACCAACTATGCACACTCACATTTACACATGTGTAGACAAATGTTGCAAACATACATAGTGCAATGTATAAAAGTCACGTGCATGTGCATCCAGAAGGCCTACAGGCTTGCACATACGCTCTCTTTTTTTCCTTCTCTCTCTCTTATACTCTCACACACAGCACAAAACAAAAAGCAGTAAAACACTCATTATATAACAACCATCTTTGTATTCTTTCTACAATTACTGTTTAAAGGGGTCAAATGATGCGATTTAAATTTTTCCTTTCTCTTTGGAGTGTTACAAGCTCTTGGTGCATAAAGAAGATCTGTAAAGTTGCAAAGACTGAAGTCTCAAATCCAAAGAGATATTCTTTATAAAAGTTAAGAGTCAACCACGCATAAAAATACAGTATAAGTCATTATAATCCGTTATTATGTCCCCACTGGATGCAACAAATGCCTCGTTTATAATGGGTTTTAATGTTTTTGTCTCGTCGCTCCGGCCGGACACGCCATCACAGTATGGTAGGGGTGTAACATTTCCATCACACGCTTAAGGTATTGGGCCAATCACAATGCACTGGATAGCTGGCCAATCACAGCACACCTCGCTTTTCAGACCGATGAGCTTTGTAAAAATCGACGCGTTTCAGAAAGGCGGGGCATAGAGGAGAAACAATAATGTACAGTATGTGGAAAATAATGTGTTTTTTAACCTTAAACCTCATAAACACATTTCATTACACTAAATACACAAAATAATGTTCTTTTTAGCAACATCATATGTCCCCTTTAATATTCAAAATTTTGCTTCCGTATAAACAACTAAAATGAATTACCATATGATCTATAATTAAACTGACTTCAGTATGCAATTCAATTTTCATATGCAATGTTGGTGGTAGGGAGCTATGATCTTCACTGTAATCCTTGTGGAAAGTGTGCACTTGTGTGCGGTTTAAAAGAGCTGCTCTGCACATCTCTTGCACTTTCATGTCCTCTGTAATCTGAAAAAGCTCTTTTGCAAGGTCTAATGGATAATGTGGGGCTCAGGAGCACATACTTTGTATTTTTGCACGACTCTCTGGAAAACTCGATTCTGATTGGTCATTCACAGCATTCAGATATTTTTGTACACAGGCAATGATGTACAACTGACCACTCATCCAAGCTATCTATGTTTCAAAAAATTTAACTTGTGTTCTGTCTCTCCATGGTCTCTACAAGAAGGCTAATGAAATAATCAATATTTAATGTCCATTTATTTATTTATTTATATCTATTAATATTTAAATATCTTCAGGGTGATCCTAATCACTTAATTTCAAAAACTGTAGAAGCTGTCTAAGGTACTACATAGACACAAAGAAGACCTTGAATAAATAGAAGAAACAACTTGTTGCTGACTACATTTCTGAGACTATGTCTAGTCCCCCATACCATTATCTGTGCAAAAAGCTGATCGCTAAGTTACACCCCCAACAGATGACAGGTGCGTCACAGTATGCGTCATGAGCCGTCACGAGAGAGGAGTTTTTTGAGCGTATGTTATTCCATAACGGATACAAACAATAACTGTCCCCGAAGAAATTAGATGTAAACAAAGGAATTACCATCCATATTACAACGTTATTGTTTCGTTGGACTAAAAGTGCTCCATGGGATGTTGTTCATTGGACCCTTACCTTTCAAACTAAACCGGGATTTACAGCTGTGGATGCGTTTATGACTCGTTATTACGATGAATCTGGTACGTACTGCGTTTTGATTATGCATGTTTTGATGTGTACTGCTTACACAAATTTAGCAAATACATTCTTTATAACCTTTCCATTGAAAAGCAGCTATCTATTTTCGATGCTTGAGGCTTAGACCTTTAGAATGATATAATTTGTCAAGATTAATTATGTCCCTTTTCATGTAATCTATTCGTAAACATTGACACGTGCAAACAAAGAGCGTTCAGTGCGTCGGCGTCCAGGCACGGGTTAACAGGTTAACAGCATTCTGATATCTATATGTACCTTTAAATGGTAGAGGTGGAAAATGTCCCTACCAACTAAATCGGAAGTGTCCCGACCAATATTTGGTCCCAAACTACTGAGGGTTTCACATACTTTTTTGAGGTCTCATTGGTGTCATTGTAGACTTTTTAACTCTCCTAAAGTCACCTCTGTTCATGAGCTGGTTAAGTGGAATATATATTGCCTTAAGTACCAGAAGCTGTGAGTTCAAATCTGGCTTAAATTTACAAGTCAAAGGCCCCTATTATGCTTATTTAGGTTCCTAATTTTGTTTAGGAGGTCTACTAGAATTGGTTTATATGGTTTATATAATTTAATGTTCAAAAAACATTTTTTTTTTACATTGCTGCAGTACCTGTTTTCACCCTCTTTCTGAACATTCTATTTTAGTTTTGTTTTCTTTAAAGCCCACCTTCCGAAAAGCCCAATACATGGTGACATAGCTACATTACAGAAATAATGTGAGGACTACAAATGAGGCGTTTAAGACGTGTTTCCTGTTGAAACAATTAACTCCCTTTTAACTCTGTAGATTGTTTGCATGCACAAACAGCTATATTACATAGTACAGGTAAAGTAACAAAGCATAATAGGTCATCTTTAAGATAAATAAATAAATAGAAAATAAATAAATAACATCCGTTGGCCAGCACACTGTGTGCCAAGCATGACCACCCTCAGGTTTGCCACTGACCAGAGAGAAGAATGATACTTAATTTAATGAACATAAAAGTATTTAACTATAGGTAAGCGGATGATTCAAAATAAAATAAACTCAGAATGCATTTACAGAATCGGTCAGCTGTCATATATAATATTGTGGGGCTGAGAAAAGTATACAAAATGTGTCTTGTGATAAGATGGAATAAATGTTATTTTCTCTATATCACCAGATGTATGTCCACGCAATGACATTTCTCAACATCACCATCCTGATCAGGGTCCTGTCATTCACTGTTTTAATAGCTGGTTTGTTTACAAAGATTATAATCTTGCCTTAATCATTTCCCCTGCCTCCTTGCAATATGTCCTTGTTTTCAAGGCAAGCCTATGCCCTTGCTAAGATCTATGTTCTTAAATTATTAGATCAAGGCAATTTCTGACATTGTCATTGAATGTAGGCCTAGTTGATTCGGGTCTCTGTCCTTGGTGCTTAAAACAGATAAAGCGCTAAAGGCACTCTCCATGGTGCTGCAGTGATCTTATGTGCTTTCTGTATGATGAAAAAGAAAAAAACACCATTTGCCTGGTTGGCTAATACCAGTGACCTGATTGGCTGGATATCTGAAAAGAGGAAGCGGCGACAGCCGACGTCATATAGCCAATGTAGACGTCATAACGCACAATTAAAATCTCCATCCACTTCATACAGCCGCGAGTATACCTTGTGTTGTCATAGATAAAAACAGTGTAATCGGAAAACAAAGTAAAATCGCCTTTGCCTCAGGGATAACCAAGGCCACGGACACGCCACAGCCCTTTGTGATGATTAGCTAACAATTGATATTCATTGCACGCGCTCTCCAGCTTCCAGAGCCACCAGTGCGGTTACCCTCCGATTAAATCCCTTCTACACAATCTCTACCGTTTTCAGAGATTCAAAGACATTGCATCGACTATACGTAATTGCATAAAGTTAATTTAACAGTGCAGCGATACTGAGCAAGCGTCTGGCACTGCTACAAATGGATCCTCTTTCTCTGCATCTGAGAAAATGCAACGATAATCTATGGTGCGATGACATTGTGAGGCATCGCTTTAATTTCGTATATCACATCGTAGATCAATGCTAATGCCCACCGCAAACGCCCATTTGTTTGGGAGAAACTCTCAATTCACTGGCATTAGTACTAAAATGAAACAGTTGATTTATATCATCACCGAAAGTTTTTTGTGTATTGACAACACAGGAAGAGAGACCAAAGTTTTATCTTGTAACATAATCTGTCTTAAATTGTAATTAAAAATATAAATGAGGTACTTTAAATCACTCACCATCAGATCCGCAAAGTTAGGGTCCAGCTTTAGTGCAATAGTATCACAGTCGGCTATGATGTGGCCATCTGGCGCGTGGCCCTTGTGCACGCGGAGAGAAACGGCATTCCGACAGGCGCTGAGGGGGGGTCATTCTCCAGCAGGAGAGGCTGCAGAACATCCGAGAAAAAGCAGAAAACAAAGCGAGCATCACCATTCCATTCCTCGTTAAAAGTCAGCTCAGAATTGATGAACTTCAGTCATTTGCGGCGATTTCCGTCGGGCACGTGCGCATTCGCCCTGACGTAAATCTTTAGAAATATCACGTGAAACGTTAAAGCACAAGCATTAGAGAAAAAGAACAGCACGACCTCTTCACAAGGTAGGCAGTGTAAAGATGGTTTTAAAACAGTCTTACTGCCATCTGAGAGCCCTAAGAACGGGTTAACACTCTCGTGTCTCCAAAATCGTAATCCTATGACGAGCAAACAAAGCCAACACCCCTTACCTTACACCAAAATGGCACACTCAAGACTTAGCCTAATCGGAAAATGTTTTTAAATGAACACAGGAGTATGAATTCATGAGCTACCATATTTTGTGAATATCACTTACTGTATCAGAGCGAGATATAGGCTACTATCTAAACGTAACATTTACTGCATATATCCTTACCTACTTTAAAGAGAGCAACTGGTGTCGTACCCCATCTTTACGTCCCATTATCTGATAGACTTGACGAGCGTGAGCGCATGTAATATACTCCATCTCTAAAGGAAGACAAATATCAGGTCTCGGGATGTGAACCGGAGAACCGGTTCCATTTTTCAAATAAAATAGCGGTATCAAATCATTTACATGACGTTCGGTTCCGTTAATGGTTCTCGAATCTGCATTGTTCCTCCGATGCAGAAGGACCACCGTAGTGAAATACTCTGACAGTGTTTCCCGTACTACCATGCACCGCAACACCGCCACTGAATCTGTACAGCGTGAGACACACAGCGCGACCAGTGTTTAACGAATGACTCTTATGAGCCGGTTCTTTTAGTCAGTCAAAAAGATACAATACAAGATGCTTAGTCCGATTCTCGAGCAAATGACTCTCATGAGTCGGTTCTTTATTGAGAATCAAAACACTTTTGAATCGTTGAGATGTTACTGAATTTATATGACTCACTTAATGAACGCCAAATTATTAGTTTCGTCATGTCCGACTCGAAATGAACTGTTAGTGTTATTGGACTTAAGGCTTGTGATAGGCTACTGACATCTTGTTCACATTATGTTTTGTTGTAATCAGTAATTTGTAAAAACAAATGAATAAATTGAATGTTACCACATTTAGGATTCATTTGTTACCCCTAAAAAGTGTGTGAAAAGTAATTTCTTAGTATTTATGAACAGACCTTTTGCATTAATTGTATGGAATGTAATTTTTATTTATTGTAGTCTGTTGAAAATCTGTTGTTGGCCATAAATTCAGTTAGAAATCGATTTATTTTTCCCTCAAATATTTATTCATCAAAAGTACTTAAATTATTAGTTAATTGGGCCGTTAAGGAACCCGAATCATGTCTGATGATGGCCCCCATCAAAGCCATATGAGTGGGAAGAAAAGTAAAAAGTTTCTTGTGGGTTGAATTTTGGGAATTTTGGAAATTTTGGAAGTTTTCACTTTAGCGTGGGATCTACCAAATTTGTAGGAGTGTGTGAAAGCTGAATGACATGTGTCGCGTGGCTGAGAGAGGCTGTTGAGGCTGTTGAGCGCGCGCGCGCGGTTGAAGTTACCCACTGCAGAGGTGGAAATGGTTGTAACCGTCTGTGCTCGCGGGCACAGCACCGCTGCAGCGCTGATTTAAAGAGACAGCCTACCAGGTTTTACCCTTCTCAAGCAGCGCGTTTTGGAGAATCACATCGGCAGGTTTCACCCCACACTGTTATTGCTTAAAAGCCGCACTGAAATAGTGCGCGTTTCTTACTCATCCTAAGATTTCTATGCGTTTGCCTGTATTTGCATGTGTGTGTATGAATGAAAGAAAGAAAGAGAATTGCATTTGCAATGTTCATTTTAGGCTAATTTTATGCTAAAGATGTACTTAATAATGTGCTGCTAATTAAAAAAGTTCATACTAAAAGAACTGACCATCACTTTATAAAATTTCTCAAAAAGCGGGTTGCTCTGTCATGGTTGCTACCACATTGGAGTTGTGCACAGTTGTGCAATTGACAGAGTATATGGGCCTACACTGTGTCCAAAATAGCATACTTACTAGAAGGTATTGGGTTTGACACTTCACAGCAGTTAAAAAGTTTGCTCTATATAGTATGAATGTAGGTAGTATAAATAAAATTTGGATGTATTACATCTGCCATGTTATAGTTAAGTGTCCATTGAATGCACATTCCACAATCTTGGCGGAAATAGTAAGTCATCCGGGTATTTACCGGGTGTTTTTCGAATATTATGAATTTGGACCACTACCTTTTTTGCCTACTGTTTTTCGCATTTTACAGACCTTGTCATTATAGAAACAAGTGTGCAGCCATCTTTGAACTTCAGTTTTTGCGGTAGCTCTGTATATTTCTATAGCATCACTGTTTAAAGGATGGTGTTTTTTGCCCTACCCTACCTTTTTGAAACGGAGTTCACAGTCGAAGAGCTAACCGCGCATGACCTTTCCAATGTGATTACGTAATGCGTGAATTTCGGCTGGGATCGTGTAGGGCCCATTGAAACTGCAATTTGGACCTTCAACCCGTTGTCCACCATTGAAGTCCATTATATGGAGGAAAATCCTGGAATGTTTTCCTCAAAAACCTTAATTTATTTGCGACTGAAGACAGAAAGACATCTTGGACGACATGGGGGTGAGTAAATTATCAGGAAATATTTAGTTAACGAAAGTTATCATGTGCATTGTAATGTTCGAAGGGGATGTCATAACAAATGTCAGTATACCAGGAAGATTTTAAAACAAGCGATTCATTCATAAATTTGTACGACCTTATCTTCACCCTGTGGAAATACAAACCAACAAAGACAATGAGTGCAGTGCTGAAAAGCGCCCAAGCTACATATATGGAAGTAGGCATATTCGTATGCAGTGATAGTGAAATAAAAAAATAATAATAATGAGCAATATCCCACAACAACCCACACTTCCCATGTCACCAATAACATGCAAAAACAATATTAAATATATAAAGTACTTTTATATAAAATAACACCATAGAAAATCTGCAATAAAATAAGCTTACATGCTTGGGGGGAAAATGTCAAAGTATTCATATGCAGATTTGAAGCCTTTTCTAATCCACAGTTACACTCAAGTGAGTAAAAGCATCTTCTAATTATCAATAGGCTACTCCGCTGCTCAGAAAAATAAGATAAATTGAACAGAGGCGCCAGAAGATATGTGATGCCACTTTTATTTCTGGATTAAGGTTAGAAGCAGAATACAGACAAAGATAGACATATCTATATATATACCAAAGATGTGTTGTAGTTGTTTTTTTCCTGAGGTGATACAACTGTCACTCTTTTCAAATTCCTCTTAAAACTATGACCACCCACTTGTTTTCTACCATGTTAGGTCTCAGTATTGCAATGCCGTGGGGCGTGTTTTTACCCTGTCACCCACATTGCTAAATGAAAACAGTCCCCATCTAAAGACTTACCTGTTTTATCAGCAGTGGAACAGCTGCTAGCTTTCATGCAATGCCCTCATGTTTTTTTCACAAGAGTGCCTGTTTTTGTTGTTGTTGTTATTGTTTTCTCTGAGACTCATTATATGCAGTTACACTACAATGCTATTCAATATGGTTATATTAGCATGCTAATTGAAATTTATAAAGCAATTGCCCTAGAGAATGCTGAAAGGTCCCTTATCCAGTCGTTGCTGTGTTAAAAGCGTAACTAGCCAAGCGTAATTAAACCCTGTTACTTGGTTTCCGTGCCAACAAGTCTACTCTTAACTGTTTTCAATTTAAGACAAGATGAAATAATTCCTCCAAGGAAAATTCAATGTATTGCATTGTGAAAATAGATATTAAATAAAATGACCTATCAGACACCTCAAAACAAAACTTTCTGCCTTGGGTCAGGAATTGTCTTGATGCACGAACGTCAGTAAAACTAAAGTAGTAATGTCTGAGTGAAAGTTTATTGTGTAACTTTGGTAAAAGCACAAATTTAGGTTGGTTAGATGGTTAGAATTTTAGAATTTCTCTTATACTTATAACATTATTCCAGGTCTACGCCACTAAATCATTTAAATTTCATTTGGATGAGCACAGTTGGATCGATTGAGACATTTACATGTAGGCTTTTCAGTCCTATTGAGCCATCAATCTGATTACAAATGGATTATTCGGTTGCATGTAAACATAGCTATTGATGCATACCTAGCACATTCTAAAAATCAGTTGTTGACTTTGTTAATGTATGTTTTATAGGAACTAATTGCCTTGGCTTAACTTTGGTTTTGACTATAGTAAATGCAGAAAAGAGTCAGTGCGCATGACAGATCGAACTGTGAAATTGATACACAAAGATTAAATCCAAACTGTTTACTAGTCAAGTCTATCTATTTACTATAAATTTTGTCCTTAATACCAGCTGCTTTTGACTAGCAAAAGAAGAAGCAAGTACTAAAGGCTGATGCATGGATGGATGGATGGATGAATGGATGATAAATACATATAAGTTCCATCCTAACTTCCTTCTTCGATAAGAAACCATGTCACACAAGAGAGAAAACTACAACAAGATTTCCTGGGGTCTTGTAATCACATCACAAGTGTCATATGCCTATTTAGAGTGGTCTGTGATATAAAATAGCACAATTGGGGACATATTCTTCTCTACTACAGAGTATTTAATCTTTAATAATATGCAAGAGTCAGCAAGATGAGGGGCAGATGTCTCTCCACTGAGTGTTCACATTTAACCCACAGGAGACAAAGTAAAATTTAACAGTAAGCTGGGAAAATATTAGTTATCTCAATTTGATATTCCATGGCCTGGCTCCTCCCCATGAGGCTGCGACTGAGTGACAGCATTGTCTCAGACAGGAAGTGTCTGTCAACTGTCACATGTGATTACAGGTATGTTAAATAGTTGTCAGCATCCGTTTGGAGAGGCTGCCTCAACCAATCACTGTTCTCTAGAAACCTGCATTGTGCTACTGTTAAAATACAATAGGCTGGTGACTGCTGTTATGACAGGCTGGATGGGGCATCAACCACTTTCTGTGAGTGTCACATGCCAGAATGAAATCACGCTGTAGATGCAGATGACTGTACAAGCTTCAGTGGAGAGGGGTGCAAGTTAAAAGTTAGTATAAAACCTAAATGCACACTTATGAAATTACCTTAATTATGTTTCAGTTGCACCTTAACAATGGTTTAATGGTATTAACATAAAGGTTGACTGGCCTAATAACAAGCTAAATTACATT